AGTTCTTAACTAAGCAACCTCACCAGGTTACTAGCTTACTAGGCTACTAGCTTTCTAGTTTTCTTGACGGTCCCAAGCCCGGGTAAAGAGGGAGGGTCGAGGCGTGGTGCTAGCAACTTCACCCCTGTAAAACAACCAAATCGCTACAGAAACTTCAACGAACTAAGCAACAATTAAAGCGAATTCAGAGAATAAGGCAATATCACCCTACATCATAAATTCTTATCGTATCTACATAAAAACTGAAAACAATCAATAGAATTAGGTGATATGAGAGAGAGAGAGATGAATATTTACTGTTCACACTTACTTCTATAAGTCCTATAGTAAAAATTTATGTGAATGTAAAATAAGTGTACCGATTCGGAAAACTGTTTAAATGAATTACGAGTCACGTAAGTATACATCCAACTATTCAGTAAAAATGCCATAGTTAATAAAGAAGTTGTGTGACTCAGAATAATATCCTAATTTTAGGATAAGATTATTTATAGCATTAGCTTGTTTATGCAAAACGACCAAACAACCAATAAAATCTTGCTTTAAGCGATTCATAAAACCATAGTGGTTAGACAAATTTTGATAACTTGCTATGTCAATGGATTGGAAGAAAGCATTCGTTTGGTTTATGCGTCGGTGGCTTACCTGTAGAATACTTACCAGAGACTCATATGCCCCAGGATTCGATCCTCGACCGACGCACACTTAAACCTAGCTAAGCTTGTAGTAAGGGTGGTAAAGAGAGAAGGTTGAGAACGCGGTTAGCCAGTCCACCCTGTAATCATCGGCGCGCTGACGATGTGATTATTATGATGTCAGCAACTGCATCGAAACAAGGTTTACATGCAGTGAGAATCAATCTTAACCGAGACCATGATAGCAGATTTCAACCGGAGAGGAAGGAAGTTACAATTACAGGAGTACACATCTGCAAACAATGTGAAAAAGGATGACTTATGCAGACAACTGCGAAATGTAGTGGACAGAACCCCAGCTAGGTGGTGACATCAAAATTCAAGTGGGTGATATGAATGCTAAAAAAACTAGGAGTAGACATCACAGTAAGACAACCGGTTTGATATTGGTGTTAGAAACTCGGATCCTGTTTCTTGTGCTGAGAGTGTTAAATCTCCACATCGATTCTAGAGTAATGAAGTTCTGTTCTGTTTTTGTTATCCTTATTGATCCGAAGAAAAGAATCAAATAACTGAATTCTTTCATTATCAAATTAAATGGGAATGATGGTTCATAACCCATTGTATGTTACGTGTGCCGAGTGAAGCATCAGTACAAAAATTCACTTCTTCTAAGTGGTTTAGAGATATTAGCAATGCGTCACCAAAAGTATTTTCAGTTGTCTACGGACTTGTATCAACAGCGAACTTCACTGGCTTGATTCTGAAAATATATACTGATGACGTTTCGAGCACAATTTATTACTGCTCATAAACATATTAAGGTGCTAACACCTAGATATGATTAGTGTATTACTCTGTGAGACTTTATCAAAATAAATTTGCTCCATAATGGAATTATACTCTGCCATACTGCTTATATTCTATTCTTATAGCCATTCTAATTGTTATTGTTATTTTTAGACTGTCAACAACGGATAAGCGTGAATACTTCTATCAGGGTGATAAGACAAAAAAAGCAGGCCTACTATACTGGGAGAAGTGATTTAACTATAAGATAAACAGATGACATCGGTTCAGTCAATCTACGGGTAAATCTTAAATTCAATTAAATAATTTAATATAACCCGTTGCACAAGAGGTGGCTTTGGGCCTCGGTGGGAATATCATCGCTGACTGAGGAATATGGGTACATCTAGATGGCGATTCCCAAATACGACGATACCACTGCTGGTCACACTATCCACCAATTAACTTCTAAATAGATGACTGCTGAGAACAGAAAGTCTAGTAGCAGTTTATTTGTAAGACAGGCTATTTAGACGCGCAATATCCGTTCTGCATGACCATAAATAGTCAAATGATTAACGTTTAGAAATTATTAGAATTTTGAAGTGTCACAGATGATATGAAAGGTAAAACATTGTAGCGAAAATTACACATATTACTTACTGTCATGGAAACCTCAGTTACAAAATCAACGTGAAGTTAAAAATTGTCTCTTTTTAACATACATTAATTTTGGTTTGAGAATTTTGATGACGGTACATTCACTTATTGTACTGTTAGTGGTTCTTATTGGTTCTTAATCTAAGATTCTTTAGGATATGAAAAAAATGCGAACGAAATTCCTTCCCGCCCCCTCCCTCCCCCGCCATGTGTTAGTGCAGTGCATGCGTTGGCATGTGTAGTAGTTGTAAGTGGATCCACAAGATCGAATTACCATCAGCCCCAACGGGTTGATCTCTGACGAAATCTCAGCACGAATACAGGGGGCTCGTTTCGCATTTGCCAGTTTACGCCGACTCTGGCGTAGACGAGATGTTCGACTATCGACCAAAGGGCGGGTGTACTGCTCATCAGTCCGCTCCGTCCTCCTTTATGGCGGGCCAGCTGTGAGACCTGGCCACTGAGAGTGGAAGACATGAAAAGACTAGCTAGCTGTTTTTGATCATAGGTGCCTGCGCTCTATTTCCCGTGTGAAGTGGCATAATAAGGTGAGCAACATTGAAGTTAGGCGTCGAGTTCTAGGTAAACCGGGGAAATCAATCAACGAAGTCGTGAAGTTACAAAGACTGAGATGGTTAGGACATGTGTTACGTATTCCAAGCCATTGCCTCCCTCGACAATGGGCAATGTTAGCGGATATAGGGTCAGGCTGGAAAAAAGCTAGCGGCGGTCAAACAAAAACTTGGCACCAGTCAATGAAATCCACAACAGTTGGTCTAAGCCAGCCACGTAGGAAGGTGTAGACTTCCAGGCTGGGGTCCTCGGGACGGTAAAAATCTATGGTTGGAAACAATTGGTGACATGGCTCAAAATCGTTCTCAGTGGCGCAGATGCATCCACTCCTTGTGACTTATGATCTTCAATGAAACTGTTTTGTTCTTCGTTATTACTCCTCCTTTGTCTGACACTTCTGCTCACTGTCTCTATTATGCTTTTCTTGTACTTTCTTCTCTTGCTTCGCGTGCTACACGGAGTGTGGCGACTTGAACTTCCGTACATTTGTGCAAAGTTCTATGTCGAAAACAGACAGACAAGATCGAAGATAAGATATGCTTTTGTAAGGGTGAATAAAAAACCCCACTGTTTCTGCCGTTTTGATGAAAAATGGAGCATTTGAAGACGAATTTTAATCGAAAATTAGAAAGTTATATCATTGAGAGGATACAAAAATGATTTACTATCATTAGTCATATAATGAAAACAGTATTAAAACAGTAGCAATAAGGAAAATAATACTGGTAATGATAAATTTACTAGTGAAACAACTCATACATCAGACGAAGGGCCTAATTAGCTACATTGGGTGATATTACCATGTCGAGTGAAATCGTTTCTCACAAAGACACATATATATATATATATCTGGTTTTTTTTAAATTCTTGAATTGCCCATTGCATGACTTGTGTATTCGCCGTTATTTTAATCTGATCACAAAGTATTCTAGGATTTATGACGTTAAGATGTTTACAGTCTCTAGCATTATAAAGTCCAGTGAATTCTTCGGAGTGTATCCAATGGAAATAAAGCTCTTCAGGTGAAATAACTACGAAATATCATATTTTGGTTTGTCTTAAGGCATCTGACTTAATAATTTCTTCGGTTCATTTTTAATTAATTGATTCTTACATGCATTCCGATGATCGATTGAAAAGTAGATTTCTTTTATGAAAATATTTTTGATACCACAAACCAGCATTTGTTATTGACACCTATCTTATAGTCAAACGGAAACCTTTAATTCTCACCCATAACTAATTTGAAAAGAAACCGATGCAATGCCATATTGTTAAGACATTAATTTTCCTAATACACAATAGGGGTGTCAAAACAGGACTGGAAAAGTAAGACACAATTTCATTAATCCAAAATCAATGTGGAAACCCTACTATACTCACTATATGAAACCAGATCGCAAGTTTCAGCATTAATGTCAAGTAAGTTAATGCTTCTGTATGGTTCGGAGACTTGGCTAGAGTGTCACTCTGAACGCATTTCCATCAAGCTGAAGACTTTCACCAGCAAGTGCTTTCGCTTCATACTGAAGATCAGATGATAGACCAAAAAAGAGATGGTAAATAAGCGACTCTGAGAAGGAACCAGACAACAACCCTTTGTCCATTGTGGGAAAACTGTTGAGTGATATCGTACAACAGCCCACTGCTCGAGTGTAAGCCGAAATGGGAATGGCAAGATCGCGGAAGGGACATATAGGAGGTCGTGTGAGGTGCTGAACTCGTATGTTCCACTCAGAATCAATGAGAAATATAGAATAATAATAATGTGGTCACGTTGAACAACTTCAATCTGACTGGCTGTTGATTTTCAGCACTTCAGAATTTTAAATTGTCAGGAAACCTTTATTTATTTAATGCTTTTTCGTTTTCAACACTTACCTTCCCTATAGGATGTCTAATAGTGAGACCTAGTTTTAAAGTACTTCTAGTCTCATGTAATCGAAATACTGATTTTTAATAAAGAATGTGAAGTATGTTTATTAACGAATCATAGCGTTATAAAAACCCAATAATATGAATTCAGTAGAAAGAAAAGAAAACCAATTGTACAATTGTCTTGTAAAGATTTTGTGTTTTTAAAAGGTCAGTTTTCCAATTTATCTTTTCTAAGAATTTCCAACACTTCAGCGTTATTTGCAAAACTTATTTACACAATGAAGTTGTCGAATTTTAATTGGCTGGCTAAAAAGATTGAATAAACAACGAGTGGGTAGCCAATCAAGAAGCAGTAATGCCTGTTTTCCCTTGTCTTCAACCTTGAACACACTGTTTTGTTCATTTTAATGACTACAAAGACAAACAGCAAAAGGTATTATTATTATTATTGTAATCCTTCATAACATGGATGATACTGAACAACCTTCAACATCTGATGGATTAGATATTGGTGAAACTAAAGGAACAATATCTATGCATAATGTGGAGCGCAGAGTATTAATGCCAGTTGATGGAAGTGAACATAGTGAAAGAGCCTTTAAATGGTATATGGAGAATGTGATGAAGTTAACTGATGGCTTATACCTAGTTCATATAGTTGAACCAATGTCACCTGGATTGAATTATAGCCTTGCCAGTAAATCATTATCTTTGAAGGATGATTTTTCACGCCATATAAATTCACTCATTGAATCAGGTCGTGTTTTACGTGAAAAGTTTCTTACACGCTGTGAACAAGTTGGTTTATCGGCAAAATTTATAATACACGTTGGAACTAAACCAGGCGAAAATATTGTCCGTCTTGCACATGAAAATGCAGCTAATCTAGTTATCGTTGGCAACCGGGGTATTGGAACAGTTCGTCGAACATTTCTTGGTAGTGTAAGTGATTATATTTTACACAATGTAAATGTTCCAGTCATTGTAATACCTCCGCCTAAACATTCAAAGAAAAAGTAGACATAATCACTGTGTAAAAATTAAAAAAAAACATAAACAATAATTAAATATTTTGTTTCCTGTGTTTATTGTTAGAAGTATTTCCTCGGCTTTCATTCTAACATGTATTTATTGCATTTTGTTAGTACTGAGTAACAATATACTCTATTATACATAATAATGATTTGTGCTGTCTACTTTGTTGCTTTACTCCTGTATTACTCACCATCGGATCCTTTTATTTCCTCAGACAAAAGACATGTTGAGTTCCTAATTTAGTTATTCAACTTTTCCTTTAAATTCTCTATCTCTCTCTCTCTCACACACACACACACTCACCCGTTGTCTATTTGTTTTATTCACCGAAGACGTCATCAATAACACTCGAATAAAAAGCATTGAACATTAGGAAATAAATACAACGTTATTCTTTCATTCTTATAATTAATTGTTCTAACTTGGAGACTGATTTTTCTAACACGGTTAGAAGGAGGAGTGAGTTAAACCGTCGATCTAGTTATTTTATAACCATAATGAAGCATTAAAGTTCCTTGCTGCAAGAATATACCGCCTTTCTCTCAGACTGTATAAGCGTCTGTTTTTATAACCAGTGTCAGCAAGTATGCAACGCAGGTACAGTAGATCAATTTAATGAACTTTACTTGTTTTAAGTTGACAATAGTACATTCATTCAAAAATGTAGAACGCTATACGTCATGTCATTTATGCTATATATTACAGCAAAACACTTCGTCACTTCAAGAAAGATGCATACATATTTTCCCTAATACTTCCCTCAAATTCATCATAGAGTGAATCTATTTACAGTATCATTCACTGATGACGTTTCAAGTGGAATTTATTGCTCACAATCATATCAAGGCGTGTAAGTATCTAGGAATTACATGATTTTCCAAACGTTGCCTGTTTTAAAAATACGAGGATTTATGAATCTTGCTTCACATTGACAAGGTCATGTGAATTTGTTGACCGGTTTCCTAGTAGGAAGATAATTGATACTGATATAAGAACAAAACTTAAGCGATGTAGTATGATTATGAATGATAAATTGTGCCCAAAACCTCATCGATAAATAATACTGCATAACGCTGTGTGAGTTTGTCAAATACATTTACTCTGTGTTGGAATTATATTATGCCATAGTTTTCTGTATTCATGTATAATATTACGATGTTAAGAGTCAATAACTGTGTGTATTCACATAATCCATGTTAACATATGTTTATTTGGTGGTGAGTACTTGGCAGTGGAATCTAGGATGCACATGTCGTCCTATTTCGGACTAGTTGGTTAGATCAACCTTCCATCTCCAGTGACCGATTGCACTCCAACTGAAACTCGAATTAAGCACCAAGACGCCAAAGGGTCAAATACGACGAAATGAATATCTCTGCCAGATAACATTACATTAATCCTCAGATATCGTCGAAGAGTAAGGTACTAGGAGCTGACACGTCAAAAGAGACCGAATATCCAATATAATCAATAAAATCAATATTAGCTTATTATTTAAAAAGAAGATGAAAATAAAGGTATTTGTGAGAAAGCAATTTCAAGTGAACCTCCACACAACTATTGTGAGTATTTGTTACAGCATATTATGTAATATAACTAAATTATAGTCATTAAACGGCTCTTCCGACCAATGTGTTTTAAAACTGACTTTACTAGTAAACAACTTAAACCTAGGCAGGATAAATGGATGGCGTAGATATTTGACCTGTATGAAAAGTAACAATACTTCAGCAACCTTGAATTCGTAATTATAATTTAACCATAAACATACATTTTTTCAAAGTCCCCGAACTTGAGCTAAATATTTTTTAATATAAGTTTTGCTATTATTTATTTTTATTCCTTTGAGTTCTGAGAGGAACAAAGGGCTTCAGCCTAGGGTTTCGAAGTTGTGGTACCAGTGGGGTTGCTAGCTCCACGCCTAACGTTCCCTATTTACTAGGCTTACAAACGGCTAGGTGAGGTAAAAGAGTGCGTCGGCTGGGAGTAGAATCTCAAACCAAGTGAGGCGAGGTTGGCGAGAATTCTACCATTGGACCATCGAATGAATAAAATACAATTCTATTGTTCTTAAGTGGTCATTTAACAAATTACACCTAAATATGTTTTTAAATAACTGTTATACTACTGTAGGCCACTCAGTGATTTGAAAAACATGTTAATTTAACATAACTTGATTAATTAGTAATTGAATGGCTTTGTGGAATTATACTGGCCGAGGGCACGCTAATCGATTTAATATTCATCCATGTCTTCTTGAGAAAACTCGACTTACCTTCCATCAATACGAGAGATTTTGACACATACTACTCTTGGGGAGACATAATCTCTGTCAATTTGAAGTGTTAATTAAACTATAAGTTCTTGGTTTAACCACCTGCAGATACTGTGGCATACTATTTTATGCTAGTTTCTATCAGATAAATAAGCCGCAGTTTTCCTTCACGCTTCATAGACAGAATGACTGTAGGAGTTGGAAATTTAACACGATATGATAGCGAAATGCTTGAGCTCGTACAAAAGTATTCAAATATCCTTATACTCTCGGAGCTATTAATTTCGTTGCATTTGCATTTCAATCTCATCCCTTTTGATGGAGTCTCACCTTGGTCGGCTAAAATTTGTGTAGTCTTTTAAACCTTTCAACTTCATAATTTTGCAATACACATATCGCTGTATTGGAATGAAGCGAAAGGGGAGTGTATGATTTATCACCAAGACGAATTTATCTGCCTTCCGTTTCCAACTACTTGAATAACTAATATTTTTACTTCCTCACATAGCTGGTGTCGTGTGATTTGGTATTACCTGCACACAGGAAAGCAGTATTCATGTCAAATGTTACGTTTGGCTATTTACAGGGTGTTTTGTCGATTTTTTTTTCATATATTTAGAATGTCTTTCATCGCGTTAGCTATACTGTGCGCGTAAGTACCGTGTGCCTGCTTTTGTACTGACCCTATATTTGAATAGCTGGAGCCACATTTACACATTTTATTTATTTGATTTAATAAGAACGACACAAAGTCTGTCATTTTGATTTTGATGATTTCCGTTTCATTTCATTAATTCACTTATGTGACGATGAGCGGACTGACCTTCTAAATATGCCACTTCTACATTTAGACCTTTTTCCCTCCTTTTCGTTCCATATAGAACATTGTGCTTCAGGCTTGAATGAAGCCTCGCAGTTTCAGTAGTCATGGTGTTGTTTCTTTTCCGGATTTGGGTTGAAGGCCTTAAGTCCAACCTTCCCTATATATTCCTGGCTTACAGTCCTGTGGTGAGATTGATAAGGTTTAGCAGTGCATCGGTCTGAAGTCAAACCTTGGACCGGGTATATGGTTAACGGGTATTCTACTACTGAACCAATGCCATAAAAGATTCAAGTGCAAGACCTGTTAATTCAATAAAGTGTGCATATATATATATATACCTCTATAGAAAGATAAAAACTACGAAATTGTACTGTTTGCAATAGCAGTATTTTGTATTCACATACATACACCCACAAAAAGTTAAACTAGTAGATCATCAGTACTGCAGTAAATTGCAACTTGCACTTCCATATGTTTACACATGAATCATTAGACCTGATCATGATTTATTTTCATTATACATTTCATTCCACATGAAATACCATCTGCACTAATCAGAAATATTTCAAGCCTATTTAAGTATATAAATTCCATAGGAACTTAGACTGAAACCCAATTTCACGAATAATTAAGAGTCGAGTGAATAGTAGGTAGACAATTTATTGTCATCGGGGAAGAAAAACGCAGCTTTATATCTATTGACTATTACCTAATGACCTTTTGAATTACTCTTGTTTAGTGATTGGTAGCCTGTTAAGTAATCTGTGTTTAAATTATCTAGGTTATGTTTTCGTATGAAAATGGTAATTTATTAACCCTTAAAAGTAATTTTCAGAATACATTCATTAATAAATAGTTTTGTTCTTCATCCTAATATGAGACCAGTTAAATTAGAGTTGCATTAAATTACGCGCTGGTTACTCTCATATGGTTAACATACATACATAACAATCGTAGTGCTGCAATGTTATTATTATTCCTTTAACATCGTCCATCGACTACCTATATGGGCTGTGTTGTTTAAGTTCCACACGACACACTTCTACACGTTGCCAAATCGTTTGTATACTCGGTAAGGAGTAAAATTAATGCGTGAGACTAACAAACTGAATCCGTAAAAACAAATTCACCATGGCTATCTGGAAATTTAGAGCTCGAGCTTGAAGCCTTATGCTCCGCTGAGAAAGCAAAGAAATAGAAATTAAAAGAAATTACTCACAGTCACAAATCTTCTATAATTCCTTTGCTGACGTCAGTGGATCATTCACTTGCAACCTTCCATCTAAACTAACCAGATGTGAGTAGATTTTACTTCAAAATTTTCGAAAAAGGATTGCTGAAACAGTCCCCTTCTTGTGAATAAATTTCATCCTCTAATAATATTATGTTATTTAGAAGCCATTAAAGCTAAAGGATATTTTAAAACAAGCGCCTAACGAAATGATACTTAATAATTCATAAGTAAGTTGTAATTTATTCCTAATTATATGTCATTCTTTCATAGCATCGATCCACGTGATCACTAAATTCGAGCTTACTGCAGACATAATATCCATACTACAGATATATTTAACCTTTAGTAATTATGATTCCATTAGTTTCTTATATATATATATATATATATATATATATATACTTATTTTATTGCCTTGCCTTCCAATTCGAACATAAGGCTTGAGGCTTCAGCCTCTAGTTTTGAGTAGTAGTGTTGTTTATTCTCACAGAGCTGAGTTGCTTGACCTCACGCCCAACCTTCCAGGTTTATCCTGCTAAAGAGGTTTAGGTGTATGTCAACTGGGAGTCGAAATCCACATGAGTGGCTGGCGAGCATCCCACACTGGACCACCGACGCAATACGGTTATCATTATGTAGTTGTTGACCCGGAC